TCGGCGCGTGCCGACGTCCCACCCTGACATTTCTCTTCCCTTTCCCCCCTCCACCGGCTCCTTGCAGACACCGATCAGACCCTGAAGAAGGAAGGGCTGATCTCTCAGGACGGCAGCAGCCTGGAAGCCCTGTTGAGGACCGACCCGTTGGAGAAACGTGCCCTCCCGGACCCCCGCATCGACGACGACAGCCTGGGCGAGTTCCCCGTCACCAACAGCCGTGCGCGGAAGGTACGGCGGAGAGAGGGTCTCCTCCCCTGTGTTGGGAAGGGGAGCTTCGGGGTAGACCACGCACATCTCCACGACACCGCTCTGATTTTCCACTCCCTTCCTCTCCCCCTCCTGCCTTCGCCACGTCTTTTAGCCGCAGCAGAAGGATTTGGGATGGATTTTGGGGGGCAGAGATGATGCTACCAGCCTCATGGGGCTACCGGAGAGCAGGAAGCCAGGGTTTGGCTCCCTGCGGCGTTGTCATGTAGACAGGTGGATGTTCCCCTCCTCACGATCTAGTTAGAAACTCCCCTAGTTCCCAGGAAGGGAGTTTCTGGCCCCAAAATTCAGGGGAAGGGAGTTTCTGGCCCCAAAATTCAGGGGAAGGGAGTTTCTGGCCCCCAAATTCAGGGGAAGGGAGTTTCTGGCCCCCAAATTCAGGGTTTTATCGTGTCTAGGCATCCAGTTTAAGGCTCTGCACTGGGTGTCTCTCCACCCAGGACAGCTTTCATCCCTCATTGACCCACGGACCCTTGCGAAATGGCCGTGGTGGGGGGCTGATCTGCCGGGATTTCGAGGTGCCGGTCCCCATCCCTGCCATCTCCTCCCTGTCCCGGCTTCGTTTTTCCCCCGTGAGCCCTACTGTGGCAAGCGCAGGTTCTTCATCGCCTCATCTCCTTGCTGCTTTTTGGTTCCCTGAGTAGAGACGAGCTCCGAGACATCTTGTCAAGCCAGACTCCTTTTATTCCTACTCGTATCCAAAGCTTTTTTCCCTTTCTTTATGGCAAATTTATTTTAAAAAGAGATTTTTAGCTGTTGCACAGGAGTAAGAAGGATGTTCAGCCAACTCTTCAAAGTGCTGTCTTCTCCGCGAGCCCTTTGCGAGCGGGCTGTGGAAGAGAAAGCAGAGTTAAGCTTTGAAACAAAGGCATGGGAAGGAAGAAAAAGCCGAGGCCGAGCGTTTAGCAAGGTTACAAGTGTCTGGTTTCTTTTTGCATCGATAACTAATCCAGCCTGGTTTCTTTTTGCATCGATAAACTAATCCAGCCTCGTTAAAAATCACATTAACTAGTTCTGGAAAGGGCTTTGGCTGGTTGCGAGTCGAAGCCGTCTCGCTGCTGCCTGGGCGTTTGGGCCGCTCTGGTGATGGTTTGGCATCTTCCCGTCGCAGCTGGCTCATGGGGTGTGTTTAATGCCAGGGAAAGGCTGTTTTTCAACACCTATTTTATGATTTTCCCCACTGGTGTTGTTTCCCCTGTCCCTGCAATTAATCCCTGCCTGGTGTGAAAGGGCTTTACGCGACGGCTAGTGAAGCTCGGAGCACACAGCCCTGGTTTGGTGGAGAAACAAGTGAGCCGGGGGGAGAGAAGATGGCAAATTTGTCTTCTGCAGAAAAAAGGGACTCGGGTCCTCCCCCTTCCCTCCCTCAGCTGGATAATTTGGGTCCAGCGGCCCCTTTTCACCCTGATTTGGCACAACTCAGAAGCTTCTTTAAATATTAAGGCTCTACCAAGATCTGGAGCTGGATGAAACCTTCCCCGCTCTCCATCCTTCATCAGACTCGCCGATGCTTTGCTGTCAATCGATGTTGGGATTGTAGGAGCTCCCCCTTTTCCCCTCGGAGCTGCCAATCGGACTTGAAACCCGCTGCGACCACTGTCGTAGCTGCTTTTTGCTGCCGAAAACCCCCTGCAGGCCTGATCCCGTGGGGTGGAAAGCCTTGGCTTAGCGGATCGCAGCCCGGCTCGGTACGGATTAGCCCCCAGTTCAGCCTGGAGGGGACGTCCTGCACCACCGAAGCCTTTTTCCTGTTGCGGTTCTTGCGAGGCGAGTTGGTTTGCTTTAGACCACTTCGTTAGCCGACCGCTCTGACGATAGACCGAATCCCAAAGCCGGCCGATAGGCTTCCGCTTCACCTCCTTACCCGCCAACGGCTGCAGTTTAATAGATCCCCCCCCCCAAATAAGCACAGAGCAGAGCAAGGTGTGCGATGCTGCGGTGTAGTTTTTCCTGAAACAAAAAACCCCGTATTTTCCCCTTCCTGGGCTTTTCTAAGCCTGGGCTTTTTCCAAACCTCATCTCTTTTTGCCTTTTCCTTGATTACTCTTTTTTTTTTTTCCAAGCGTCTTCACGCCGTGTTGGGCCCTTCTGTGACTTTTGGGGGGATAAAATGTACCAGATCCCTTCTCCCTCCCCCAAAATTTCACATCCGTTCTCCTCCTTCGGTATTACGGGTTCGAAATGGATTCGGCTGCCGACGGGTGACCCACGGCCGCGCTGACGTATCTCGCTCCCCAATTTTTCCCCCTTTCCCCTCGATCCGTGCCGAGGTTTTGCCTGCGATAACCCCTTTCTTCTTCCCTAGCGGATTCTTGAGCCGGATGACTTCCTGGACGATTTGGACGACGAAGACTACGAAGAAGATACGCCCAAGCGGAGAGGGAAGGGGAAAGCCAAGGTGAGGGCAGCCGGGTGGGTCTGGCTGGGTCCCGGCGTTGTTTTGGTGGCCGGTCCTGGCAAATTCGAGACGTTGCCGGTGCCGAAACAGCCCCCGACGCCTGCCAGGGGCGTCGACCGTGTCCCTGTTGAACCTCACGGTGGGGCAAACTCGGGCGTGCTTGCCCTGG